TCATTGTTCCGTGAAGTTGACCAGTGTCCAGCATAGTGCCTGGTACATGGAAGGAACCTAATACATATTTTTTAGTGGAAATCAAATCTAGATATGAGGTAAAAAAAAAATAAAATATTTGGGAGTTGTATCAGTCAGGATAGACTAGGTTATGTTGGGGTTCCAACAACATTAATATGTCAGTGGTTTAAGATAATTATTCCTTACTCTTTCTACATGTCCATAGTGAAGGCAGAGGTTGGGGTGGAGGGAAGGATGTGAGGGCAGGTTTGCATTGGAGCTACCAGAAGACTCAGGCTAACAGAGGCTCTACCATCTCTTGATGCTGTCATCTCAAAATTAGGGTTCAAGCCTGCTGTAGCAGGACAAGGACACTGTCACCCAAGTGATTCTGCTTAGAAATGACACTTCTGTTTACATTTCATGGGCCAAGACTAGTTCGTAGCCACTCCTAATTTAGTGGGGGAAGAAGAGTGTGATCCTTCATGCATCTAGAAGTAGAGGAGAATGGAATATCTGTGAACAGTGGTTTTGTTTTCCACTATAGTTGTTTTAGGCAATAATAAGGGAATAGATAAAATTACCCAGAGAGTAATAATAACAAAGTTATGGGATGCAACTCTTAAACTCTAGTAGCAAAGTTTCCTTTATTTTCTAGTTTAACAGCTGAAAGAGTTTAGCATATCTATGCATTCCAACTTTTGAAACCAACATAGTTAAATCTAGATTTTACCTTGTTAGGTTTATTTTTGGAGAACAGCTCTTAAATTTATGTTAAGATTATTTTAAATGAATTCATTGTATCTTTCTCTATTCTGTAATTAAATTTAATATATTTTAGAAATGTGTGTTTTTTATTTGTTTTGACCAATTCAGGAATATCTCTGAAGCGGTAGTGGATTACTTCAGAATTTTTTAAAAAGGAGATGATGAACTCAGTAAAATAGGAAGTATACTTTACTATTCTGTTGGAAAGTAAGCTATTTTCCTAAATGCATGGCATCGCCTTTTGATTCTGGATTATTTACATTTGATCCCCGTTGCTGTCTGAATTCAGTGATTGCAGAATTTTTAGAAAATCATTATATTAAAGTTATCACAGAGAAACTTAAAACATCAGAAGGGAGAGCTGGGAGAGCTTAGAAGATCCCTAAAAAATCCTTAAAGACACTTCACTTATTTGGCAGAGAAAGTTACATGCCTGGGGTTGCTTGACCTTTAGTGCTTGATATATTTTGATTCTCTAGTATATTTGTACTTTCCTCAAGTTCATTTTCCTTTGCAAACTGTTTTCACCACTACAGTTTTCACCACTACACTACCACTACAGCATATAACTAGTTTAAGGCTTTGCCGGGTTTAGTTGCACCATTTTAAAGAGGATGCTCAGGCTTTCATCATGTAATACATTTATTGAGCACTTAATAATAATACTAGCTAACATTTACACAGTGCTTACTATGGGCCTGACATTTTACTTTTTGAACTTAAGGTCTGTGCATGTAAATTATACTTTAAGTACATGCCTTCATGAATTTTTATATAGCACTTCCAGTTCAAGGGATAGACCATCCCTCACCCGTTAGAACAGAAGTAGCAAATACTTTAGGTTTTGTAGGCCATTCACTCCTTGTTGCAACTACTCAACTCTGCCATGGTAGAATGAAAACAGATGTAGAAACCCATAAACAGATGAGGGCGACAAGATTCTGATAAAACTTTAGCCAAATTTGACCATGAATTATAGTTTGTCATACTCTGCCCTAAAAGACTCTCAGGCAGGCATTTTACATTAAACCTCCCCAGTGAGCTTCCGAGGTAGGTATTATTTTTTATTACTTTATTGATATATAATTGACATACAACAAACTGTACAATTTGATGTTGTGCCATATGTAAACACTAGCGAAACATCACTGTAATCAAGATTGCAACCATTTCCATCACCCCAAAGGTATTTCCTCTTGCCCCTTTGTAACTCATCTCTCTGCCTTGCTGAAGACAGTCATTGATGTGCTTCCTCTTACTAAGTCACTATAGTTTTTATTTTTAAGGATTTATTATAAATGTATTCATAGAGTAATAACCTATTCCCTCTCTGGTCTGGCTTCTACTCAGCATCATTATTTTGAGATTCATCCGTTTTGTTACTTGTATATAGTTTGTTCCTTTCCTTTCTATTGTTATATTTCATTGTATGGATATACCATACTTTATTTATTACTATTTTGGCTAAAAAAATAAAACATCTATGAGCATTCACAAACATGACTTTGTGTAGACATGTGCTTTCATTTTGTTTGGGCAAATACCTAGGAGTGGAATGTGTTGGTTGTATGGTAGATATATGTTTAAATTTTTAAGAAACTATCAAATTGTTTACCAAAGTGGATGTACTATTTTAAAATTCTTATTCTTACCAGCAGTGTATGAGAGCTGATTGCTCCACATCTTCACCAGTCCTGGGTATAATCAGACTTTTTGTTTTAGCCATTCTTGTGGGCATGAAGGGGCAGCTCGTTGTTATTTAAATTTGCCTTTCTCCAATAATTAATGATGTTGGGCATCTTTTCCTCTGCTTGTCATTGTATACGTTCTTTGATAAAGTGTTCCAGTCTTTTGCTTACTTTATTAATTAGATTTTTTATCTTCTTTCTTTGGAGTTTTGAGAGTTCTTTATATGTCCTGGGTGTAAGTCCTTTACTAGATCTAGGATTTGCATCTTTTTTCTCCCAGGCTGTACCTTTCCTTTTCGTCTGCTTAATAGGGTAATTGACACTATTTTGAGTTGCCGTATGGTGTGGTTGTTAGAAAGCACACTCTGAGACTATCAGAGTTTTGAATCCTAACCTTGGAACCTAGGGAAAATAACTTGAGGTTTCTAAGCCACTGGGTCCACCTAAAAAATTACTTGTCATACACGTTTCTGATTTTCTTATGTTTTACCAAGAAGTTTATATGAGGACAAATTTGAATATGATTTAGTATGATTGGTTGAAAGAAGTATTTTTAGGGATTTATAAATGATTCAGTAAACGAAACAATAGTAAAGCTTAATGGTTCTTCATAACATCTGGATTTCTATACTTTTACTAGTTTGGCACCCTCATTTCTAAATTGAAGGGATAGTCCAAAAGAGTACTTTCTTATAACTGTGAAATAATCTTATAATCTGGACTGTCTTAATGAGGCTAGTTTCCCTTGTTGCCATAGTCATTTTTAATAATTAAGATTTATAAAACTAAAAGTAGTATGTGCTCTCTAGTTAAAATTGAAGTCAGAACCACTTTAATGCAATCTACGTCATCTTTTTGCAGAAGAGTGATATTGACTTTGACCAGTTGGTATATCCTCTGTGACTTTGCCATGTATGATTATTAAGTGTGTATGTTTATGGAAAATGGTACAATGTTAACTTCTTATAAATGTCGGCATTGTGATTAAATAAGCTTTATAATTGGCTGGTCAGATTTACCTTACGAATAAAATGTGAACATGATAGGTTTCATATGTGACCATTTGTTACAATGAAGTTCAGACATCTGGACCATCATAGCACACTTCAGATAAGCCCGTATGAGGAGTTGTCACAAACCAAATGAACTGCAAGTGTATCCATTTAGGTTTGCCTATTGTGTTCTTCTTCCATTATTTCACCAAGCTATATCTAAAACTCTGAAGCTATAGTAGAATTTGGAGAAGAAGGAATATTTTTTTTTGTGGCTAGCTTTGCATTTATTACTATCCATAAAATGTAGATAACGTGTGTTTTACATCATGTGTTTTAACAGGAAAGTGTCCTATCAGTTTTGTTTTTATCATTGGTCAGAGTTACCCATCTTAGATTTGCACTGATTGCCTTTTTTCCTGAGCACTCTAGTCCATAACTTGACAGACTGAAGGTAAATGCCTTAGAAGTCAAGGCGACTACAGGATGGTTCAGAATGGCCAGCATCGTATTAACATGGGTGCGTGGGAGCCAGGAGACCCGGGCTGTAGTCCTGCCTTATGTTGTCAGTGCCACTGTCATCCTGGCCAAGCAGCTCTCCACATGGATTTTCATCTGTCACATGAAGATTAGGGTCGCTCCTGTGTCAAAGAGCAATACCAGACAGAAAGGGGATGCTTTGCAAAGTCCCATGTAGTATGTGAAGCAGTAGAATTTTCTCCAAAGTATTTAACATGTTAAATTATTTTAAAAGTATGATATTTGAAGTACTCTATAGTTGATCCTTCTTTTAATCACACAGCCACATGTGCCACTTTTTGTTCGTAGGTTTGCGTGTGTATGCTTTCTTGGAGGAGAGCAATCTTGCATGCAGAGTCAAAAGTGGGTGCAGGCTAGAGATGGGGAGGAAAGATGAGCTCCTTTATCTCATAGCCAGTCCTAGTCTTTTTGACTGCATTTTACCCACCATACTTATCTTCTTCCTGCAAGCTTCATTTTCTTCTATTCTTGTCTCCTCTCCCCCTCCGCCACCACCTTCTTTTTTCCTTTATTAACTCTTCTCTTAGACCAGAGGGAGTGGGAGGTGGGGGAGCTATGGGCCCTGTAGCTTTAAGCACTGTCATCTGGATTTTTTTTATTATTTTTTTTAAAAGATTTTATTTACTTGACAGAGAGCGAGAGTAGGAACACAAGCAGGGGGAGTGGGAGAGGGAGAAGCAGGCTTCCCACCGAGAAGGGAGCCCAAACATCCCAGGACCCTGGGATCATGACCTGAGCTGAAGGCAGACGCTTAACAACTGAGCCACCCAGGCGCCCTTGTCATCTGGATGTTTATGGAGCATGTGTTGGACATGCGCAGAACATAAAGCTAGTTAATTGTGTACTCAGACCCCATGATCAGTCATGTGGTTCTGTGCATCCTTCATCCCACCAGTTTCTTTGCTATGGAATGGGAGACGTGTTTATAGCACTATGCCTAGGGTCAGAGGGGTTATATCTAAATATAGACTCTGTCTGAATTATGAGCTCTTAATCTCTTATTTATTTTTAGGGCAAGAGCGGTTTGGCAACATGACCCGAGTATACTACAAAGAAGCTGTTGGTGCTTTTGTAGTCTTTGATATATCGAGAAGTTCCACATTTGAGGCTGTCTTAAAATGGAAAAGTGATCTGGATAGTAAAGTTCACCTTCCAAATGGCAGCCCTATTCCTGCTGTCCTCTTAGCTAATAAATGTGACCAAAAAAAGGATGGTGGCCAGAATCCTCCCCAGATGGACCAATTCTGCAAAGAACATGGTTTCACTGGATGGTTTGAAACCTCTGCAAAGGTGAGGTCTGCTTTGTGTTTGTATCTGCTCTGCTCTTAACTTGTAAATCTGAGCTGTAACTTTAAAATATTTAGACGGGTTTATGTGAGTGATTTTTGGGAGCCTAGAAAAAGCCAAAGTAGAGCATGTTATAGTTTCTTTGAGTGGGCAGCAGGAACGCTTTCAAAATTGGCTAATGTGGAGGTGAATAGAAGGGCAGGTTTTCCATCAAAATAAAAATTAGTTATTATTTAGAGCAAAGAACAATGACATTCTCTGAGTTGGAGCCTTTAAATGAAGCACTTCTGCAACTGGAGTTTATGGGGAGATAAAGTGTCTTGTCAAGCCCAAGCATTTTTGATTTTTACTGAAGGCTTCACGAAATATAGGGACATAGATGACCCTGGTGAATGTGTGGGTCATGTGCAGTACTAACAAAAATGGACACTGAAAGTATCAGAGAGATATATTCAGATGATGTTTGAAGAGTTTCAGATTAATTGTGTATGAAAGAATTTGAACAAGAGGCAAGTATCAGCACTTGTGACATGCTTCGTGAATAGTGGAGTGAGAATTTTTTCTTTCATCTATTATGGGATACAGTGTTTTATGAAGAAAAACAAAAAACACTTAAGTTGGTTGTTAAAAATCTTGCCAGCCTAGATATGTAAGAAAGCAAAGGTGAAAATCACAAGCGCAAAATATTGGTGGGGAGGGAGTTTGTTAATGTGCTTTGGAAATTTCACACTATAGAGGTCAAATAACAATTGGACTTATGTCAGAATGATGAAATGTTGGAGAAATTCTGTAATGACAAAGTCCAAACCATAAGACTGTGCATCTTAACACAGTCCCAGCATTTGGATGCCTTCTGTGGATTTCTTGTAGGTATATATTTTTTAAAAAAGCCTTTTCCTCTTAGCTAACAAATGTGACCAGGTTTATCTACTTACGGCTAGGTTACTTTTAGCTTTACCAGAAACCCACCCTAAAAGTAGATGATTTGGTGCCGCTGATGATCAGAATAAGGAAAGCAAAGCTATGAGAGACTGCACGGAAAAGCGGCTCTGGAGATAACAGTGATGTTGGAGTCATCGGAAAAACTAGTGTCTGCTGGAGGCAGAAGTTTTTACTCCTAAGCTAAAGGCTATTTGTTTAAATAAATACATCCTAGAATCTTAAGATCTAGTTTCATGAATAAAAAGTGGTGCCAGAAGAAAGTTGCAGTTGCGCGCTGGGTGCCGCGTGAGCACTTAGGCCGGCAGGAAGAAATGGAAGGGGAGGCGCCTCGTGGGGGCACGTGTCCGGGAAGCCACGCCCTCCGTCCGCGTCCGCAGAGTGTGTCCGGTGATTTGCTTGACTTCCCAGCTTTGTTGGGAAATAATCCGTGGTACATGCAATGTTTATTAGAACATGAGATTTGTGGGAAGAGTTGCATGTATTACAGATAAAATTTCTTCTCTAAGTTTTATTTGAATTAATCATTCAGGTAATAAATCCAAATTCGTCCCCAGAATCTAGATGGAAGATTTAGAAACAGCGTCACGTGGCATGTAGCTGGACACTGGAAGTCATCAGCTTTGTTAACATTTATAGACAGAGTTACATGTGGAGTGGAGAGGGAAAACATTGGTTAATCGTAGAAGTTTCAGGTCTGTTCTGCGCTTTCCTACAAATCTATTAGCAACACCTTCTGCAGAATTTCTTCAGTAGTAATCCAGGAATTTTCCAACAGAATAACAGTAATATGAAATTTAGGTTAAAATTTTAGTCAAGGCTTAAATACTGGCCGAGTGTCAATAACGCCTGTATTTCTGAGCTGGCCGGCAGCTGACTTCCCAGCTGATTTCTGCTTGAATTCCTGTGATCTGAATTTTAACGGGAACACAGCCAAAAGACAGTCTTGAATTCATGAACTTCATCTTTTCACCTTTATGGCAAATAATGGATTTCCAATAAGAAAATGTGTGACTAATTACAATATGGGATTTTCTGTTCCTAATCAATTGCTACTAAATGTGGTTAAAGAGCATTATAATTCTTTGAGATAATGGGAATGGTGGGGGCTAAATGACTTTTGGACATTCAAAGATCAATACTTAAAGTTAATACTTATCGTGGGAGTGGAGGTAAAAAAAAAAAAAATAAAAAACCTTGATGCTGGAAAAGATACCCGAATGAATAGCCCAAGTCTTGCAGGTTTCTCATTATCTGAGAAAGTATATCAGATAAGGGAGATAGCTAGAATGAACCTCATGTTGTTAGATCGAAATTGGAGAGATCAATATGAACTTAATGTTTTATATGTATGTATAAATATATATGTTTCTGTGTTTATATGTGTGTCTATATACACATGTATAAACTGATAAACGTAGAAATTGATGTGTACGGGTCTGTGGAGGGCACATGTATATTTACTAGCTCTGCCTGCTCAGGAGCAATGACACCACAGGTCCAATGAGCTTTCTAGTCCCCAGAATTTGGTTTTTATTTTTTATTATTTTTTAAAAGATTTTATGTATTTTAGAGATAGCATGATCTGGAGAAGCAGCAGAGGGAGAAGGAGAGAGAATCTCAAGCAGATTCCCCACTGAGCACAGAGCCCGATGTGGGGCTCAATCTCATCACCCTAAGATCATGACTTTGAGTCGAAATCAAGAGTCAGATGCTTAACTGACTGAGCGTCCCATGCGCCCCCAGAATTTGGTTTTTAAATACTGTTCTCCTGCAAAAAGAACAGAAGTTTAATGGAGAAATGATTGATTCCAGGATTGGTGGGACAAGGAAAGTAAAGATGCAACAGAGATATTTTGTGGTGCCAGAAATTAAGGAAACACAAAATGATGGAGACCCATCAAAACAAAACAGGACCCTACTTATAGGAGCTCCAAAAATCCAAGACAATTTGAGCAACAAAGTAAATAACTATTGTAATGGACCTCTTCCATAGAATAAAATAATAATCCATGAGAGGAATAAACCAATGAACAAGTAGGGGAGCAGAGGAAACTCTTCCTAACAGTAGAATTCCAACTAATAAATGTAGAAGGAATCATGGAAATAGATAATCACCTTTATTTTTTAAATTTTTTAAAAATTTTTTTTAAAGATTTTATTTATTTATTTGACAGAGAGACAGCTAGAGAGGGAACACAAGCAGAGAGAGTGAGAGAGGGAGAAGCAGGCTTCCCACTGATCAGGGAGCCCGATGCGGGGCTCGATCCCAGGACCATGGGATCATGCCCCGAGCTGAAGGCACACGCTTAATGACTGAGCCACCCAGGCGCCCCAGATAGTCACCTTTAATCACCATGGTAATAGCTGTTTTAGGGAAGAATTAATTGATGTTAAAGTTAATGGGGAAAATTATGGTGAAAAATAGGATATTTCCATATTTGAGCTTACTAAGTACAAAGGAGAAATAGTAACTATTCCGTGGAGAAGCCTGGCAGACATGACGTTAAGCAAGTGTGCCTCTCGGACGCTGAGAGGGACACATCGCTTACTCCTGTCAAAAATGCATAACTTGAGTTTAATGATACAGAAACCTCAGACAAGCCTAAACTGAGGGATAATCTCTGGCCAGTACACTGCTCCAGGAGTGTTAAGGTCATGAAAGGCAAGGTGACTGAAGAACTGTCCCAGGTTAAAGGAGACCAAGAAGACATGAGCACGAAATACATCCGGTCACTTGGATCACAGGACATTGAGACAATGGTGACATTTGAATAGGCTTCATAATTAATGCTGACACTATTATCGAATTTCCTGATTTTATCTGGAAATCTGGATATCCAGGATGTTAATATTTTAGGAATATGAGTGAAAGGTCTGTAGGAATTTTTGCTACTTTGCAACATTTTTGTCAATCTGAAATTATTTAGAAATGAAAAGTTAAATATTGTGGGAGTGGGTGGTGGTGGTGGAAAAAAAAATATTTTTTTAAAAAGCTCAGATTTTATGTGTTACTCGTGTATTTAATGACAACTAATAAATCTGTCACACAAATGTTGTGATAGCTAGTGAATCCTTAGGGTATTTTTAATGGACATCACACCTACAACATTGTTTCAGGTTAATTTACACATGACAACTAGAAGTAATAATCTGTACTCAGATGGAGAAATGACATGATGCATTTATCATATTTTAATGTGCGAGCCCGTTGACATTCCTCTTCATAATGTATCCTGAATGCTTGACTTAAATGTTCAAGGGCAGGAAATTTTTCATCTTAGTGCTTTCATTTATGTGAGTGGCAACCCAGCATGGGATGATGATTCCTTTTCAACTATTGGAGATAGTTCATTGAACCTCGGGGGCAAAAAGTTTGAAACAGGAACATCAGGAAGGGGAATCCTTTGTGAAAAGAAGAGAGTTCTGTAGCCACATTACTCAATGGCATTGACCTCTGAGGGTATATACCCTGTAGTGAGGGAGAAGATGGTGGACACCCCCTCTACAAGAGGGGGTGTCCACCATCTTGTCCCATTAATACTCCTCATGCTTTCTTCTAAGCATTAATCCTTAGAATTCATCTCGTTCATCATTTCTGCATTACAGGATAATGTAAACATTGATGAAGCAGCCCAGTTCCTCGTGGAGAATATTCTTGCAAACCAACAAAGCTTTCCAAATGAAGAAAACGACGTGGACAAAGTTAAACTGGATCAGGAGACCTTGACCGCAGAGAGCAAGTCCCAGTGTTGCTGACATGGTTTCAGTGTCTGCCCCGCGTGCAGAATGCAGTCTGCCTGGGCTGGAGCCAGTCCTGAGAATGGATAAGGTGGCGGGTGTGCTGTTCTGTGAGTCCTCCCGGGGCTGCACTTTAAATGAATGCTCTGGTTTTTCTTCGGGTTGGATGAATCTTTCTCCCTGTTCAGAACGACAGTGATGGCACCCCTGGGAGCCTGCGCCCACATGGGGGTTTTCTGGTGGTCGCCATGAGTTCAGGATAATGTTTACATCCTCTGTAACATCTTTTTAAATGATGGCCCCCCCCTTACCAATTCCAAGTTGTGCCTTGTAGCGGCAGTGCTGGGATGGTAAGAAACCTGACCTGCAGTCTTTGAGCAAGGCTATAGGTCCCTGTCTTGTCTCCACATTCCAGTCTCACTCTCCAGGGAGGCTGCAGACTCTGGTAGTCACAGAAGGCTTGAAGTTCCTGTTTTGCAGTTTTTCCTTTTTTTTTCCCCCTACTTCAAACTTTGATACTTCATGTAAAATTGTTATCCTTAAATATTATAATTTCAAGAGCCCTACCCAGGGTGGCATGTCCTTATCAAGGACTCAGCACACACATGGCGCTGGGTTTCTAGCTCTGGTTTGGTTGCTGGCAGTTGGAAACAATATAAATGAATATTCCTTCTCTCTCACTCCAGTTTTTTTTTCCCCCTCTTCCTCCTGGTGGTTTATTCTTGTACCTGAGAGCCTGGCTGGTATTACTGTTGCAATTCTCTCCAACTGGAGCTAGTCTTTTCAAATCTGTATTAGTAATGGTCGCAGAGAGAAGTCACTTCAAAGCATATACAATGAAAGCTGAGGTTTTGTATTATGAATTATGAAAGAAAATAGGTCATGTGTGGTTTTCTGTAAAGTTCGGGACATTTAAATTATAGCACATGAGAAACTTAAGGCAGCCTCATAATACTTGTATTACCATTTAACCCAGTTAAGGAAAAAAATAAATATTTTGACTGAAACCTTGTTTTTGTGAATTAATATGGTTCTCTAAAGGTAAATGGGGTGTACTTTTCTGCCTTACAAAACTTTGTGTCTGTTCACTTTTTCCCTTTGTTTTTAAGGGACTTGCTATCATCTGAAAGGTCCAACCTATTTTTTTATTTTTTTATTGTTATGGTAATCACCATACATTACCAACCTATTTCTTTCGAAGGAATTTTAAAAGTGTTTGTGACATAAGCCAGAGCTAATACAAAATGAGGCATTGATCAAATTGTCTTATACATTATGATGAATGTGGGTAGGAAAGATCCATGCATTTATTGAGAGCAGGGGGGAAAAAAAACCTAGCAGGAATTGCATCTGCTCTGACAGGTGTATTCTGGGAATAAATAGTTATCATGGGCCATAAAATGTAGCTTGCTCTTCTCGTTAAATCTAAGCTTTGCCTAGGAATCACAAATGTGTTTATATGTTTTGCATTTAAGTAAATAAGCTCTTTGATATTTTGGGACATGTATTCTGTATAGAATTAGATTTTCTGAAGTTAAGGAATATAAAGAAGCCCCTTATTTAAATATCACTTACCATTTAGTTAATATAGCCCCTCTTAATTTTTAAAATATATTGTATTAAATCTTGCTTTCTAAGAAACGTGTCATACTCTAAAATTTTTTCTGGTTTAGGTACCAAGTCCTTCTTGTTTTTTTTTTTTTTTCTTTTTTTAAAGATTTTATTTATTTGAGAAAGAGCAACAGAGATAGAGCACAAGTGGAGAGGAGAGGGAGAAGCAGGCTCTCAAGGAGCAGGGAGCCCGATGCGGGGCTTGATCCCAGGACCCTGGGATCGTGACCTGAGCTGAGGGCAGACGCTCAATCGACTGAGCCACTCAGGCGCCCCAAAGTACAACTTCTTTATATTGATTCCAAAGTCCAATTGTGTAAGTAGTATGAAAAGTTGGTGCCAAAACCTAAATGTTAGAAACCTAAAGCTTATTCTGGGTGGTCACTGAAAGTGACAAGTCTTCTTGGAATTTTCTTTTTTTAAAAACATTATTGATTTTCATTTTTACAAGAAATTCACTGTGTTTAAATTGAGCAAAATCAGGAGTATTGCACTCTCTGTGCCCACCTTTACCACATTTGTTACCTTCTCTGAGGATAATTTTAAGGATTGAGAGTCCCTTAAATAATGGTTTCTCTATGAACACTGAGGGTTCTGTTTGTCATTGTGAGACAGTTTATTCTAGTTATCATTTCTTACACTTTAGAAGTAAAACCGAGTATTTTGCTTTACTCCTAAATTCTCACCACAATTTGTTTTTGTAACTTGAACATAAAATTTGAATTTAGGGTAAGTTACATAAATGGCTAAAGGAAAGAATACTTATTTCCTTATTCATTTAATTGCTTAATGAAAATTCCTGAGCCTCACTTCAGACTATTTAAATATTTTTCTGGGGATGGGGCTCAGAAATCTGCTTTAAAAAAAAAAAAATCTGGTGAGGGGAGCCTGAGTGGCTCAGTCGGTTAAGTGTCTGACTCTTGGTTTTGGCTCAGGTCATGATCTCAGGGTCGTGAGATCCAGCTCTGCATTGGGCTCCCGTTCAGTGGGGGGTCTGCTTGAGATTCTCTTCCTCTATTCCTTCTCTCTCTCTCTCTAATAATAAATACATGTTTAAAAAAATCTGGTGGTGTTTCTTTCGAAATCCCTTATAGTGAGCAGTAATAGTCAAAGTGTTTTTGAGTTTGAAATCTATGGCATTACCCAAAACATGAATATTTTTAAAATATAGCACTTTTATTTCCATTTATACATCAGTGTTATTAAAGAGTCTGAATGGCTTAAACAGTGGACAAGCAGTATAAATCTTTCATCCACTGAAAAAAATGGAGGCTTAAGGATTCTGACAGGCTGGACTAATCTCCAAGTAACTTTGTACAATTATACATTTGGAAAAAAAAAAGTCCTATCTCTATTGTGCTGTTCCTCACAGTGATACGGTCTGGAAATTAATAACCTAAATGTAAAAACAAGAAATACAACTACAAAACTTTGGCATGTATGGAAAAAAAATTTGACACCAGGCTGAGAAATTCCTTTTTAAATCCCCAAATGCTTAAAGCCAAAGAGGAAAATATAGATATATTTGGTTGCATCAATGTCATGTCTAACAAGAGATTATAAGTAAAATTATAACAAGCCACAGACAAAAGAAAATATTTGCAACCCATTTAATTGGGTGAGGGTCAAAGCAGGATATTAAACTCTAAGACAATGAGTAAAAATGGGCAAAGAATGTAAAACCAGCGTTTTCAGAAGAAGCAATTCATGTGTTAAATCTTGGTAACCAGGAAACGTAAAAAAAAAAAAAAGATGTTATCAGATTCCACAAGAAATATGTAAGTTTGAGTGTATCCCTGATGTTGGTGAACATACAGGAAAATCAGTGTTCACAATCTGCCTCTCGACCGGATTTGATTTGATAGATACCTCCCAGTTTCTCTCCAGTGTTCCTGTGTACCTCTGTGCCCACATATTGCTGAGAGGCCAAACTGCTATCATTGGGGAAATAACAGAAACAAAATGTCCTCCCATCCAGAAGACTGCTCCATAAATGTAGAAGAGAGAGAAAACGATGTTTATTGAATAAGCATGAGCCAGAATGATTGCCTCAGGGGAAATAGCTAAGAGATTAAAAGGCCCTTTTGTATAGCTCAGCAGATAAAACCCATGTCATGCTTGTTCTCAAGGTAAACCAGAAGTCGTTCTCGGGTAAGAGGCCTTGGCGGCAACTTTTGTCACACACGGTTCATCCTAAATGCACTTGATAGTTGGGGTGACCGTCTGTATTAGCTCATTTCTTTATCCAGAGGAGAAATCACTTCTCATATCTTCATGGCAGGAGGTAGTTGTGCAAGCTGGTGTGAGATTTCTCCCCTTCCGCAGAAATTAAGAGAGAGGGACCCTGTCTGTCCTCGTAAATACATTGCAAAGAGATGGCTCCCAAAGATGTCCTTGAGAAAGCCTGGAGAGAGGCTTCTTTAGCTTTAAAACATTTACGTACATATCAAAGAACTAACTTACAAGTTTTTAAATAACACAGAAAATGGGGAAGGGACATGGATGCGAGGAGTTAACTCCCTTAACTTCCACAAGGAGACTTAAGCTTATTTTTTTATTTGCCTTTACTGTCCAGCCTGGGTAAACATTTACTTATGTGTACAAGGAATAATAGAAGCCTGTTCACTGCAGCATTGTTGGGATATGCATGCAGGTATGCATGCAAAAAAAAATTACATGCTTATCTGTAGGGGGGAAATAAAATGGAAAATTGTATACCCATACAAGGAGATAGTTTAGCAATATTTAAAAAAAAAAGTATTAAGAATTTAAAGGCTAGGGCGCCTGGGTGGCTCAGTCAGTTAAGCGACTGCCTTCGGCTCAGGTCATGATCCTGGAGTCCCTGGAGCGAGTCCCACATCAGGCTCCCTGCTCAGCGGGAAGTCTGCTTCTCCCTCTGACCCTCTTCCCTCTCGTGCTCTCTCTCATTCTCTCTTTCTCAAATAAATAAATAAAATCTAAAAAAAAAAAAAAAAAATTTAAAGGCTATGTGAGCCATTCAGAAAGGTTAATACCAAGTTCCTGATTGTAATTGCCTCAGGTAAAGGCTAGAATTGTGGGTGTCAGTTAAGGCTGACTTGGGCTTTTTAGTTAATGTTTACATTTTTATGGTGCAATTTATTTTACCCCAGTCAGTATGTTTCCTACACTATCACTGAAATTAAGCAGCATTCCATTTGGAACATAATACTTTAAAAAATAAAAAACACTTTGAATTTTCTTTACTTTTTACTACACTTAATAGCATCACCTATGATTTTTACCCTTCTGAGATCTTAAATATATTATGAATATAATATATCCTATGAATATATGAAACCACCATTCTTTTCTGATTCTCCAAGTCGTGTGTGTGTGTGGTGGAGGGGAGGTAGGAATATGGGTTCAAGTTGCATATAAAATACTGCTGGGACTGTGTACGTGGCAGTAATTCCATCTACTGCCCCCCCAAACACCTGAATACCATGTGGTATCGCTCTGCCAGTCTGTTGGCATTTCCCAAACCAAACCCATTATCTTTCAATCTTCTCACTGCCAAACCTGCTTTGAGGTTTAAATGTTTATATATTATAATTTAAATGAGTTTTTTTTATGTTCATTCTAAGTTAACATGTAATGCTGTCTTTTAGTGGTATGATTATTTTGCTGATTTTTTTGAACCCCACTAAATTTATAGCTGCCATTTTCCTCCCTTTAGGAAAACTCTGCTTTTGAGTCTTTAGTATAGCTTTAGTCATGCTGCTAAAGTATGATTTGAGAGCTTGCAGAACTTTAAAGGAATACAGTAATTGCTCTAAGTGAAGTCTTATAATAACCTGACTTCAATTTCAATTCAACATACTACTTCATCTGTGATTTAAAGATGAAATTTTGTGGATTTCTTTTCTTTTATTGATTACAAAACTGAGGTAATCTCCAAAAACTTTTCTCTTTTGGAAATTTTAGCGAGGTACTACATAGTACTTTCATTCTGGTTTGATTTGGAATGGTTTTAATCGCTGGGAGTGGGATCTAATTTTTCATAGCATAACACCTTTAAAAATCGAATATATATTTTTACTCTAGACTCTTTTTGTGGTACGAC